GAAACCTGCAGTTTGCCTAAGGAGGGGCCTGTTGGCGGGTTGAGCGGGAGGCTTGGGGTGATACAGGACAACAGCTACCTGAGCTCAGATGGAAAGTTGTAATACTAGTGGGGTATGGTGACTCCCAGCACTCACCAGAGGGAGGTTGGAGAAGGAAGAGCGTAGTTCATTTCTTCATGTCTTGAGTATTCTGCATTCCCTGGTGCTTCTCATGGTTGACATCGTGTGAAAAATAATTTGAAAATCTCTGCCATTGAGTCCCCAAGTTATTAGTTACTTTTCATCACTCTCGAAAAATATCTGACACAAACAGCTTAAGTAAGATGGGGTTTCATTTATAGTTTCAGAGGTTCTGGTCAAGCACCTTTACCTGCTGGGCCATTTCACCTGCCCAACTTTAGAATTAATTTGTCATTATTTATTAAATGCCTAGCTGGACTCTTTTTTTCCCCTTAAATTGGGATTGCATTGACTGAATAATAGAACATAAGGAATTCTTTGTGTTCAAATGGCTCCCCAGTTAGCTGCACTGGCCCAACTTTAGCAGGCATTGTAAGTGGCATTGATTTTTTTTTTATATGGATTTAAATATACCCCTGCCCAAACTGTTTGAAAATAAGTTGCAGCAGTGTTTAAAATCTCACTCCTAAATAATTAAGAATGCACTTCTACAGAGTAAAGCAGTTTTTCTGTATAACCATAATGCCATTACCACTCCTAGGATAATTGTCACTGATTCATCAATTAGCTGTTTAAAAGACACGCTTGTCCTTAATAAAGCTGCATTGTTCTGTTTGTTTTGGTTTTATTGCCCTTCATCTCTTGTCCTAGGCACTGAGCTATGTTGGGATGTGAAAAAAAAAATCAAGCAAAAGTCTCCTTCTCCAGCCTTTCAGAGTCTTAGAGATTACCAGAGAGACCAGTGTCCAAGGTACAATAGCCTAGGACGAGAGCGATAGGAGCGCGTCTGTTTTCCTGTTCTTTAGGAGTATGTCAGCAGAAATGAGCTCCGCCCAGCGCAGTGTTCTGAAACCTCTGCCCCGTTCCTGATCCACCCACCTGCTTCTGATGTACCTTGCTCCTAACCCAGAAGGGCTTGCCTCTAAAAGAGAAGGGCGCAGCAGACAGGATGTCCTCCCTCTTTGGATTCTCTCAGTGTCTGTACAGTGACGTCTGGGCAGGGACAGAGCTGTGGTGAAGAGGACCTCTGAGCCCAGCTGAGGAATGGGGACATTATCCTCTAGGTCTGCTGTATTAAGTGGAACATGGACTTGTTCTTGAATCCCAGGCATCTGATAGCTAGAGTATAATCAAGATAGGATCCATTCCTTTCATTGAAATATCGCCTCAGATCTATGTGGCCACCCAGAGACTTGAGTTCATGTTCGCTGATAGCTTTGTTGTTTCTCATTTCGTGACATCACCCACATCCCATGCCAGGCGGCGTGATGGAGGAAAGGGCAGCATGTTCCTTTCGGGCACATCTTGGAAGCTGTGTGTCTCACTTCTGTCTGTATTCCACACCTGCATGCAGGAGGGGCTAAGAAACCGTCCTCATTGGGAGTCATGTACCAAGCTAAAGATAGCAGGTTTTAAGAATGGGTATTGAGGGGCAGCTGGCAGTACCTGTTACGCCAGCATGTCTAAAAACACCAAAGGGACTTTCAATGAAATTAGTCCCTGAAAATGTTACATAAAAATATAATTATTGCAAGGCATGTTGATTCATGCCTATAATTTTAGTGCTAGAGCTGAAGGCGGAGGATGGGGCTACTCATTGAGTTCTGGGTCCGTTTTGGCTAGAGTGTGAGACCCTGTATCAAAATCCCCCCCACAGACCGACAACAACAAAACCCAAATGGTTAATATTAAACATTATTGATCTTTCTGAGATCCATATTACAAAGTGGCTCAGTGAAGTTCTACAATTAAAAAAATATGTACACAGTGGTCTTTGTTCACATGATACTTTTCTTTGAGAAGCCCTGTTCACATTAGCTTTGGGATTTTTAAAGGTTCCTTATGGAAGCAACAGGAACATGTGGGAATTGTGTCAGTCAAGATTCAGACAGAGAAACAGCAGCTGCACCGTGTGTAAAAGGATTGCTACAGGAACTAGGTTGTATGTAATGTGGGCACGAATTAGCCAGTCTGTGTAAGACTGCTGTCTGCATGGAGCTTAGTGTCTGACGTGTAGATGGAGGGATGTGAAGGAGGGCAGCGATCTTGGGAAGGAGGAGGCAGATGGGTCTCATGGAAGTGAATAGGGGACCTAGGTCAGTCTGTCACTGTTCTCAGTTTTGTTTTGAGACAGCCTCGGCTGACCTGGAACTTAACCTTATGCTCAGAGATCTGCCTGCCTCTGCCTCTGCCCTCCAAGTGCTAAGATTAAAGGCATGGGCCACCATGCTCGGCCAGTTGCCCCTAGTGTTGGTGATGTGGGTGTCCCATAAGACAAGCTGATGGCCGGGCATTGGTGGTGCACGCCTTTAATCCCAGCACAGAGGCAGGTGGATCTCTGTGAACTTGAGACCAGCCTGGTCTATAAGAGCTAGTTCCCGGACAGCCTCCAAAGTCACAGAGAAACCCTGCCTCGAGCCTCCCCCACCCCCCATCCCCCAAAAAGAGAGAAGTTCATGTCCAGGCTGGGAAGATAGCTCAGCAGTTAAGAGCACTGGTTGCTCTTCCAGAGGTTCTGAGTTCAATTCCCAGCAACCATGTGGTGACTCAGTCATCTATAGTGGGATCTGATGTCCCCTTCTGGCTGATGCCCTCTTCTGGCATAGAGTTGTACATGCAGATTGAGCACTTGTAGACATAAAATCAATATATAAGGGAGGGAGGGAGGGGAGGGAGGAGGAGGAGGAAGAGGAAGAGGAGGAGAGGTCCTTTATGGAAGAGAAAACACTTCCTGCTTAGGAAGGTCAGGTCAGGCAGGAAGTATCTGTAGCATCTGCAGCCTGGCTGCTGTTCCCACCTCGGGAGGTGAGGATAAGCAACAGTGTAGGTAAGCTGCTGGATGCTCCTTCCAACACCGTCTTCAGCTTTCAGCTGGAATCATGCTTTGACTGGAAGCCTGAGCCGTGTAGTTCAGCCTACTCGGGTAGGTGCCTTCCGAAGGCAGGCTGGCACTTACCAGATGGCAAGCAGAGAGTTGTGTACAGCAGTGCTAATTGTCATAGCTTCTAATGATCACTAGCCTGAATGGGCATCAGTAGTTTTAAGTAGATAAAGTGCTACACCCAGGTGATAGATGTGAGATATGGACACATCATTCTTACCACCACAGGCAAACAAATCACGAGCAAAGAACTAACAACGGTTGCTTTATAGAATTTGAGAAAGGCCAAGCTGGTTCAGGGCCATGGTTACTCAAGAGGATGGACTTGGAGGGTTCCCAAAAGGTCCTCTGAGTACCTGTAATGCTCTGAATGTCTCTTGACCTTCTTTGCTGCCTGTGCAGGGATGCTGCTTTGGGAAAACTTAGTGTGGTGTATGATTTACACTTAATGCTGGGCTTTGGTACAAAATTTAGGTCAGTTAAGTTCCCTTAAGGTATAAGTAGCAATGGGTTGAAGAAAAGAAAAGAGTTAGGCAAACCCCATGCAGAGTGGGGTAAAGCTTAGGGATTAGCTCAACTGTGTCTAATATACACAAAACCCTAGGTTAGAGCGCTTGGATTTTATTTATTTAATGTTCATGCATAAAAAAGGAAAGAATGCAGGAACATGGAGAGACTTGATTCTTAGGAAGCCACCTTTAGTCTCAACTTAACACTTCTGTGAGCACACTTTCTCATCGCTGACCAGTTAACAGAATGTCACTTTAGCCTTTTCTGTTTTATGGAATTGTAACTCCCTTCTTTTCATGCTTTTTTTTATTCAGTAAATTCATTAGTTGGATAGAATTCTTTTCTCCAAAGTAGATTATTTGAAAGTGGCTTGGGCTATGGCATGTGGGACTGGGTGTTACTCTGTGCTATGCGTGGTGGCTTGTAGCTAGACTACATACGTGTTTTCTGATGACCCAAACAGTTACCTGAAAGTGGTGGTGGCTAAGATAGTTGGTGGTGTTTTTAAAGCCTGGAGAATGAGGACTTGGAGTGTTAATCAGAATGGAATCTTACAAGTTACTTAATTCTTTGACTTTGGAACAACAGATTAATGTCTGCCTGTAGCTGACACAGCTAACTGTGCAGACCTCGCTTGTTGCTGGGTCCTAACACCTCTCCTACCTCTGTCACAGCCGTTGTCACCCAGCTGAGCTGTATCTGCTGGCCTTTTTCTCTGTCACCTTGTTCAGCATCAGACTCTTGCTCATCTCTTTGTGGCCAGGGGTTGTGTCTCACTCTTCTGCTTCCAACACCTAGCTTAGTGAAAACCCAGAAACTAGTTATGAGTGAGTGAGTCCCAGATTCTGAAGTGAAGAACTGAGAATTGATCCTTGAAGAAGACCACATCTGGGGAGAGATGTGGTGTGTGTGTGTGTGGGTTATGCTAAACTGCTCAGAGAAGTGGGGAAAGATCCAGAATTGCATCCTATCTGGGAAACCAAGAGAAAGGAGTTTTGAGGAATTAGTAAACATCACAAAGTGAGAATGACAATTTTGGGTTTTTTGGTCACATATTAGTAGCAATAGAGTGTAAGATTAAAAACGGGATCTCAAGAGGATGAAGAAATGGGAGTATAAAGTTAAACAAACAAAACTCGCTCTACTTAGAGAAGTGAAGCCATGAGAGGAAAATTTGAGAGTAACCTGAGTGACTCAAAGGATACTGAATTTGAAGCAGCGGATGGGGTCTCTCCACTGCCCCCTCCTGGTCCTCCGGAGATGGAGGAGATGGAGGAGATGGAGGAGATGGAGGAGATGGAGGAGATGGAGGAGATGAGCCCATGAGCCTCTGTCTCCTCAATTCTGAAGCAGTCTCAGCACATTTCTGAGAAGCAGTGTGTGCTGTGCTATGCTCTTCTCTCGGAATGACTTCTGTTTGTTTTAACCCGATCCCCCTGTTCCTACAGGAAACATGGTAGAATGGTGCTTGCCACAAGATATCGACCTTGAAGGTGTGGAGTTCAAGTCTATGGCCAGTGGGTCCCACAAAGTGCAGTCTGATTTCATGTGAGTACTTCTGAACCCATCTTGTTCTGCTTGATCCCTCCTCTCCTGTGTTCTCCAAAGCAGCGTATCAAGAGGTATCTACAGGGTTTGTGCATGTATTCTGTGTTTATCCAATTTCCCAGCAAGAAGGGTTCCAGCTCTCAAGCTTGCAGTGGGTCCTGACCCTCCCAAGCTAACAGCTCCTACAGTAGAGGTTCTGCTGTTACTGAGTGATTGTGTGGCCCTCATCGGGTTTAGTTTTAGTGTAAGAGAGGAGTTTCAGTTTAGTGTGGGCTAACCTAAGACATCTATATGATAGCCTTGGAATACTAGCTTTTTTTAGGGAAAATTAATATTTTAAAATTATCCAAGAAGCAAGAACATTGGCTCCAGTAGTGAGGTACTGTACAAATTTACATATTCAATAATACCCCCCAATTTATACATGATAATTTTTCAAAATTAGAATTTGACCTTAACTGGTTTGTTATGAATACAAGTTTTTTTCCATTCATTTATTTAGTTCATAAATAAAGTCATGCACAATTATGATACAGAATACAGTATGTTCACAATGGCATGACTAAATTTAACAAATTAGCATGTTATATCACACATATTCATCATTTTTGTTTTGTGAACACTTAAAGTATACTATCTCACAACTTTTAAAATATAGCATATTGTTATCAACCATATTTATCATGCTCTCAGTAGTCCTCAAGACTTCAGAGAGTCCATGCCTCTTGTCCAACTGCAGTTTTATATCCTTAAATCAATCATTTCCCCATTGTTAAAAGTCCCATATTGAAGCCTAATAGCCACACTTCTGCTCTCTGTTCCCATAAGTTCATCATTTCTAGGTTACACATAAAATTGAAATTGTGTGACATTTGTCTTCCAGTGTGTCACTTATTTTTTTTTTTGCAAGCATGTAACTTTACTACTTACTAAAGATGAAATCAAAT